TGCGGCTGAACAAAGAGGTGCAGGATCTATAGGAGGAGTTCTGTCTTCTCTACTGCTGACTATTGAGACAAGGTGGGTGGCGGAGATGACAGCATGCCACAGCTGCAAAAGAGGTCTAAGGGCCACATAAAATGGCCTGCTGAGCCCTTGTGCTTGCCATATGCTCTAGAGCAGGGGTGGGCAAACTTTTTGACTTGAGGGCCGCAATGAGTTCATATATTGGACCCGGGGGCTGGACCAAGAGTAGATGAATGATGTGTATGTGTCATCCATAGTAAGTATAGTAATATTCCCCCATAGTAAGCATAGTAATTAATCCCCCATAGTAATTCATCCCCCATATAGTAATTCATCCCCCATAGTAATTCATCCCCCATATAGTAATTCATCCCCCATAGTAATTCGTCCCCCATATAGTAATTCGTCCCCCATATAGTAATTCATCCCCCATAGAGTAATTCGTCCCCCATAGTAATTAATCCCCCATATAGTAATTCATCCCCCTATAGTAATTCATCCCCCATATGGTAATTCATCCCCCATAGTAATTCATCCCCCCCCTATAGTAATTCATCCCCTATAGTAATTCATCCCCCATATAGTAATTCATCCTCCATAGTAATTCATCCCCCATATAGTAATTCATCCCCCATATAGTAATTCATCCCCCCTATTAATTCATCCCCCATATTAAGTCCCCAAGTCCCCCCTGTGTCAATTCACTTACCTTTGCTCCGCGCCGTTCTGGTGTAGCATGAAAATCTGTCTCCTATGAGGATCTGCCCCCTCGACGTATCTGCGCATGTGCCAGTTTCAGGCATTAGCAGCCGATCGGCGATCTCCGGCACATGCGTAGATACGTCAAGGGGGACAGATCCTCATAGGAGACAGATTTTCATGCTACACCGGTCTTCAGGGCGGACTGTGAGAGGAGCCTAGCGGAAGCCTAGCTCCGCGGGCCGGATTAAAAGGTCCGCCGGGCCGTATACGGCCCGCGGGCCGTAGTTTGCCCATTGCTGCTCTAGAGGAACCCCAGAGTTCCACAAAAACATGGTTGAGAATGACTGGTCTAGTGTATTGAAATTGTGAAAATACATTCTTTAACTACCAAAAGTGTTATTAGAAATGTTCATTATTCAAAGATTCTGATGTATCCGAATCACAATAATAAATTAAATAATGAAACAACAAATGAATGTGTTAATTTGTTTAATTCGAATGACATGATGCAATGCTTTGGGCCTTTTGAAAATGTTTGAAGCAGCTATAATAAAAGACATAATGAATGAATGAAATTGATTTGAATCCATTTCATTTTTGTTTTGCATTAACATTTTTCTTTATTATAAAAAAAAGCAGTACATATGAAATGGAAACATATTGCAATAAATACAGTAAGGTATAAAAGTGAAATACAGTGATGATTCCTACTTATTGTGTTTGGGTTGGATGGAGGTGGATCCATCAGAATCTCCAAATCATAACATGAAGAGTTAATCCAAAATTAATTTCGCTCCATTCTTAATTTGTTACTCCAGGCAGTATCATCCAATCAGCTCATTCAATTTCTCTTTGTGGTTTGCACTAGCAGGGATGAATCATAATGCATAAGTAATCTCCCGAAATAACGAATTAAGTTAAAACAAATATAGCCAATCTTTCAAAATAACATCTGAAATTCCAAAAATGAATCATTCTAACATAACGAATGTGATGAAACAAAATTATTTACTTACAGTCAGGTCCATAAATATTGGGACATCGACACAATTCTAACATTTTTGGCTCTATACACCACCACAATGGATTTGAAATGAAACGAACAAGATGTGCTTTAACTGCAGACTGTCAGCTTTAATTTGAGGGTATTTTCATCCACATCAGGTGAACGGTGTAGGAATTACAACAGTTTGCATATGTGCCTCCCACTTGTTAAGGGACCAAAAGTAATGGGACAGAATAATAATCATAAATCAAACTTTCACTTTTTAATACTTGGTTGCAAATCCTTTGCAGTCAATTACAGCCTGAAGTCTGGAACGCATAGACATCACCAGACACTGGGTTTCATCCCTGGTGATGCTCTGCCAGGCCTCTACTGCAACAGTCTTCAGTTCCTGCTTGTTCTTGGGGCATTTTCCCTTCAGTTTTGTCTTCAGCAAGTGAAATGCATGCTCAATAGGATTCAGGTCAGGTGATTGACTTGGCCATTGCATAACATTCCACTTCTTTCCCTTAAAAAACTCTTTGATTGCTTTTGCAGTTGCTTTGGGTCATTGTCCATCTGCACTGTGAAGCGGCATCCAATGAGTTCTGAAGCATTTGGCTGAATATGAGCAGATAATATTGCCCGAAACACTTCAGAATTCATCCTGCTGCTTTTGTCAGCAGTCACATCATCAATAAATACAAGAGAACCAGTTCCATTGGCAGCCATACATGCCCACGCCATGACACTACCACCACCATGCTTCACTGATGAGGTGGTATGCTTAGGATCATGAGCAGTTCCTTTCCTTCTCCATACTCTTCTCTTCCCATCACTCTGGTACAAGTTGATCTTGGTCTCATCTGTCCATAGGATGTTGTTCCAGAACTGTGAAGGCTTTTTTAGATGTCGTTTGGCAAACTCTAATCTGGCCTTCCTGTTTTTGAGGCTCACCAATGGTTTACATCTTGTGGTGAACCCTCTGTATTTACTCTGGTGAAGTCTTCTCTTGATTGATGACTTTGACCCACATACACCTACCTCCTGGAGAGTGTTTTTGATCTTGCCAACTGTTGTGAAGGGTGTTTTCTTCACCAGGGAAAGAATTCTTCGGTCATCCACCACATTTGTTTTCCGTGGTCTTCCGGTTCTTTTGGTGTTGCTGAGCTCATCGGTGCGTTTCTTCTTTTTAAGAATGTTCCAAATAGTTGTTTTGGCCACGCCTAATGTTTTTGCTATCTCTCTGATGGGTTTGTTTTGTTTTTTCAGCCTAATGATAGCTTGCTTCACTGATAGTGAGAGCTCTTTGGATCTCATCTTGAGAGTTGACAGCAACAGATTCCAAATGCAAATAGCACACTTGAAATGAACTCTGGACCTTTTATCTGCTCATTGTAATTGGGATAATGAGGGAATAACACACACCTGGCCATGGAACAGCTGAGAAGCCAATTGTCCCATTACTTTTGGTCCCTTAACAAGTGGGAGGCAAATATACAAACTGTTGTAATTCCTACACCGTTCACCTGATTTGAATGTAAATACCCTCAAATTAAAGCTGACAGTCTGCAGTTAAAGCACATCTTGTTTGTTTCATTTCAAATCCATTGTGGTGGTGTATAGAACCAAAAATGTTAGAATTGTGTCGATGTCCCAATATTTATGGACCTGACTGTAGCCAATAAATCCAAAACTAAACAATGTTTTTTGTCATGCACATCTTAAGTGTTACACTACACAAAACTTTCATCCAACCTTCAGATTAGTGCATTTGTAGTTTTATATAGCCAGTCCACTCCAATCTCCTTTATCCAGCAATGTATTTTTGTCAGTAGTCTGGTGATGTGGAATTAAACCAGAACTAAATCGTCCTATCCTTTTGCAGCAAAGAAATCTGCCATCTTAGGGCTCATGTACACTTTAGGTGCTAAACTGACGTTCAGGAGCTGTTGAGCATTTTTCAGCAGCCCCTGAACTCTCTTTTAGGTTTACCTATGTGTCCATGTATACATAGTCGTTTACAAGAAGTTGAGTTTACAGTAATATTTGTAGTATGTATGTAGTACAATATTCGCCTGTCACCTCATGCTATGGGTGTACTGCATGGGTATAAGGGTGCACCAAGATGGCGCCCACGCCGGAAGTGACGCCACCGCGTGCCGGAAGTTCCTCCCCGTGTACCTACACGTTACGTCATGCTAATCACGTGACTTCTTCAGGATATGTCTCTCTAGGTCTGATGTTTAGACCACTGTAAAGAAATGTATGAACTAGTAGTAACTACAGTTATTGAGGAAAAAAGCAATTGCTGACTTTATGAAAATGCTAGTTGGCTGGCTCTCTGACTTCAGTAGTTTTGAATCACCTAGTACAAGCATGCAGATAATAGGTGCATATACAGTATAGTCAGAAACCCTTAAATCTTTACCTGTTCCAGATCAGTAACCCAAAGCATCAGCATGAGATCCAGGAAACTAATTTCAGAAGGAGACCTATTTCATTTATGGCAGGTTACTTTGTGGGATAGTTTTTTGATTGTGATTTCTTCTGATATTCACCCAAGATTCAGCCAAGGTTCATGGTGAAAATTTATCATGTATCAAGCCAAATTAATGGACATTGCCCAAGATTCAGTCAGTGAAAATGACATTCTACATCATCTCTTCTTTGATAGGAAAGTGTCTTTAGTGTTATAACATGTTTCCATTAAAATGTATGAAAACAGTGAATGTTATCTTCCCAACAAATTCACCCGACATTCCCTCAACCTATTTTTCTTTGCCTGGATGAGATTCTGAAAATGCAATGATTGTCTATAAAGAGTGCTAAACCTGTTTTTAATACAGCGAGTGTTGGCAAGACAAGCAAAGAATAAACACTTTAATACCCAAGAAAAATAATTTTTAAAGGGTTAGTTCACCTTATTGCAAAAAGGTGAACTAAATCATTACACACTCCCCTGGTCAACACTGCGGTTAGATTATTTTCTGTCCATACCAGTCGTTATAGCGGTCCAGGCATTTGAAAGATGCAGTATACAGCCCAAAGGCTATGGAGCATCACAATGCTCGCAATGGTGAAGAAGCATTAGCACTAGCATGTGACCACACTGACCAATGAGAATCTTCCTGAGCCCTCTTTGCTCCAAGACAGTGTCCCAGAAGAAAGAGTGCAGAGGAGTGCATTTTTCAAATGTCAGACTGCTACACCAGCTAGTGTGGGCAATGAAAGATAATCATGCAAGGATTTATGTGCAGCAGGGACCAGAGGGGTGGGGAGAGTGTTGTGAGTTAGAATGCCCCTTACATTGGTGGGCAGTGAGAAGAATGCTGCTTCCATTTGTAGTCAGTGAGAAGAATGCCCATTCCATTAGTGGTCAGTGGGAAGAATGCTGCTTCCATTTGTAGTCAGTGAGAAGAATGCCCATTCCATTAGTGGTCAGTGGGAAGAGTGCTTCTTACATTGCTGGTCAGTGGGAAAAATGCCCCTTACATTGGTGATCAGTGGGAAGGATGCTTCTTACATTTTGGTCAGTGAGAAAAATGCACCTTACATTGGTAGTCAGTCGAAAGAATGCCCCTTACATTGGTGGTCATTATGAAGAATGTAAATTGGTGGTCAGTGGTAAAAATGCTTCTTTCATTGGCAGTCAGTGGGAAGAATGCCCCTTCCATTCGTGGTCAGTGGGAAGAATGCTGCTTACATTGGTGGTCATTGGAAAGAAAGCCCCTTACATTGGTGGTCAATGGAAAGAATGCTCCTTACACTTTTGACAGTGAGAAGAATGCTCCTTACATTGGTGGTCAGTGGGAAGAATGCCCCCTACATTGATGGTCAATGGAAAGAATGCTCCTTACATTTTTGACAGTGAGAAGAATGCTCCTTACATTGGTAGTCAGTGGGAAGAATGCCCCTCACATTGGTTGTCAATGGGAAGAATGCTCCTTACATTTTTGACAGTGGGAAAAATGCATCTTACACTGGTGGTCAGTGAAAAGAATGCTCCTCACATTGGTGGTCAGTGGGAAGAATGCTCCTTATAATGGTGGTCAGTGGGAAGACTGCCCCTTTTGTTGGTGGCCAGTGGGAAGAATGCTTTACCTTCTCATTATGTGGAAAGGTGAACTAACCCTTTAAAAACTATCCAGCGATATGTGAAGGTGTCCCACAGCAGCTAACAGTTCAGAAAGAAGAGTAGGGATCCCCTTGTGCAGTGCTCAAACTCCTGTTTGAACAATGATGAACTTCCTGAGGCAACTCCAAATATGGGAAATGATGCAACAGGGATCTCCAACCCCAGAGTTCCCTGGATCAATAAAACTATGCTAAGAATAGGAAATTCAGAATTGCTTGATAAACCTAGGAGGAACGTGTGAAACAGGATAGGCAAGTAGGTTAGTGGCCATTGGTTTGCAGGAGGAAAACAGTCATGGTCAAATTATTACAGGAACCCTGAAGCAGTATCACTGACCAGCAAATATTTCTGTTCTGACATTCCCCCCCGTGCTCACTGGAGCATTGGACTGTGTGGAGGGGGATGGACTCTCAGCAGATACCTGACAGACTGAGCCAGGTGCCCCTCCAGAGTCTGGGGTGGATCCCGACTTTACAGTTGGGATCTTTCCCTGGACTGGCTGAGTGACATCAGCCAACGGTGGACTTCATCCCACTGTCAGCTGAAAATGGGTCACAGGAGAGCAGAATGAACTGCATTCCTGTGATCCACAGAAGTACAGCCAAATGAGCTTTGGCTGTATTTCTCCTTTAATACTGCTTTAAAGGAGAAGTATAGCCAAAACTTTTTTGGCTATGCTTCCCCTATGGATCACAGGTGTGCAATTCATTCTGCACTCCTGTGACCGTTTTCAGCTGACAGTGGGCTGAAGTCTGCTGACATCACAGAACCGATCCAGGTTCTGAAAAGATATTGACCATATTTTCAGGATCCACTCAGAACACTGGAGAGGCACCTGGCTCAGCCTCTCAGTGAACCGTCAAGAGCCTGAGCCAGCCCTTCCCACCCCCTCCACAGCCTAGCACTCCAGTGAGCGCTGGAGGGGCACAGCAGAGAGCCGGAGACTGACATTCCTGGTTCTCTGCTCAAAGCAGAGGGGGAAAACTGAGCAATTGTGGTCTTTGGTCACTCAGGTCTCTGTGCACAGTTGGCAGAGGACAGATGCAACATCAGATCCATACTGCATCCACCTAGGTGAGTATAATGATTTTTTTTTCTTTTAAGGATGGGAAATATGTGGATTTTTAGCAAGCAACAGAACCAGAAACACCTGGCACAGGGTAGATCAAGAGGTTCTACAAGCACATTTGGGCCTGTAGGTTATTCACTGTGTGCTACAGTAAAGTACTGTATATAACCTTCACTAGAAAAATGAAACCCAGAATTTCAACAGCTACTATGGACAAAACATCCACTTTTCTGTTTGCTCTTGTTTTCATCCTTCATGCACAACTAAATATGATGCTGCAGATTTAAATATGCCAGGGGGACAGCACAGCATTAAAAGATTCTCTGTCTCTTAATTAGAACATCTCTTTGCTAAATCTTAGATATTACATTTCAATTTTTCATAAGAAAACTGAAAGCTAAAATCATATGTTAATAAAAATGAATGTATTAAAACTTCAAAAGTGGATAATCCATTTTCTCCGAACTTGAATTTTATCGAGACTACTTTTACTATACACAAATGTACAAGAAAAGCATTTTGCTGAATTTCAAAAGATTGAGGAGCTCATATGCATGCTGATAATTGTTGGTATTAATTTATTTATTTCAGGTACTTATATAGCGCCGTCAATTTACGCAGTGCTTTTACATATATATTGTACATTTGCATCAGTCCCTAACCCTCAAGGGGCGTACAATCTAAGGTCCCTAACTCAGATTCATATACAAGGGCCAATTTAGACAAGATCCAATTAACCTACCAGCATCTCTTTGGAGTGTGGGAGGAAACTGGAGCACCCGGAGGAAAACCACGCAGACATGGGAGAACATGCAAACTCCAGGCAGGAGGTGCCGTGGCTGGGATTCGAACCAACGACCCTAGTACTGCCAGGAGGAAGTGCTAACCATTTAGCCACTGTGCTGCATGAATTATGATAAATTAAAGAACAAGTACCCCCAAAATGGATATTCCAGAAAAACAGATTGCCTTCCCACTATGGGGGGTTTTGCAGGATGATTCTTCTTGCCCTAGTTCACTGATTCGTCATCATGTGGTCAGGGTTGATTTAGCAAATGGGGAAAATAGTATTAATGCCAGATTTACCAGTGAAGTCCACTAAGAGACTTGAAAGTAGAGCAACAGAATTTATGTATAGCCAGTAAACCTAACATGATTTAGGAAATAATAAGAAAGCACAGCATTAACTTCATGTCTGCTAGACGAGAAGGACTTGTGTGTTCTTTATTTGAGTCATTAAATAGTGAATGTAATCTCTTGGTATTCAGTTCTGTTTCTCAAGATTATAAACTATAAAGTCTTTTTCCTTTCCCAAATTATATTAATACATCCAAAGAATTATCATAAATAAAATAAAGAATAAATAATAAAATAAAATAGAATAGAATAAGATAAAATAAAAATAGATAAATATCCTCCTTATCCAAATGTCCACAGGTGCAAGGGTGAAAGTGGATAAGGAGGATATTTATCTATTTTTATCTTATTCTATTTTATTTTATTATTTATTTATTATTCTTTATTTTATGATAATTCTTTGGATGTATTAATATAATTTGGGAAAGGAAAAAGACTTTATAGTTTATAGTTTTGTCAGCTTTCAAGGGTGAAAGTGAATGTTTTTCCTTGGGTTTATTTTAACAATTTAAAATTAGAGTGTGCTAATTTAGCTATTTATGTTTCTCAACATTGCTGGTTTATTTTTCTCCCTGCAAACGTGTAACATTCATATGCAATATTCTATATTTATCTGATTAAAAAGAAAATAAACATATATATATATATATATATGTGTGTGTGTGTGTATGTATGTATATTTCAGTACAGTTGGTACACCTAAGCACAATGGGTGCATTAAATGGAATTAATTCCCAGGATAAAATCCTCTATATACGACTCTTCTCATGCATGCACAATTCACATGCAGCTCCACCTGCTGGTGCTATCTAGTAAAGTGGCACATAAGAAAACGATTTTCATAGAGACCCTAATCTGCAAATTTACTTGAGTCTATGGGGAAGGGTTGGAGCTGCTCTATATCAAAGCATAGAAAGGACAGGTCAGACATAGAATTTACATTTTGTGTTGAAAAAGTTATACAGTATTTAAACTTGTGACACCCTAATTATTTTCAAAAATGTGTTAGGTACCTGGCAATTAGAAGCTCTAGTTTGAAACCATTTGCAGTTTCTTATGGGGGTGATGTTTACAGAAAAAAAAAATGTTAATCCAGCTACATCAATTTCTATATGGCTATAGTTTGTCTTTCACAGCCCATTCCCACCTCTCTAGTGCGGTGCCATGCTGGGGGCCTGTACCCGGTCTCGGAGAAGTGGGGGAGGTATGTCTGTAGCAGGACTGAATACTTTTTAGTGCAAGAACTTGCAAAGTTCTATGCTGTAACTTCATCCAGTTAGGATCCTGAGAGCGCTCAGATCCCTGGCATGGCACTGTAGAAGGGCAGGGATGGCTTTTGCAGGACTCTCTTAGATCCCCCCCTTCCCTCGACACTCACCACCGCTCATTGGCAGTTCTAAAGCTGCACACTCTGGTAACAGATGAAAAAAAAAAAAGGAAAACCCTATAATTTAGAAACTTCTTTACTGCTACAGCAGCAAGTGATAGGACTGCAGGGACTCTGGCAGCTCCCTTTCCTCCTGATTGGCCTTCTTTTCCAAATGGGGCAATCTAAGTTCTGCTGAGGCATCTTATTCACGCATGTTAGCCAGAATATGGATTGTGTTTCCACGTAGTCAGACTCATATGGGGGAGCAAGGCCATCAACTGCTATGGTCAGAAACATCACCACACCAATTTTTGGGGGGCATTCTTCCCTAGGGGCCACTATTTCACTAACAAGAATGATTTGGGAGGCTTTCTTCCTTAGGGACCACTATTTGACTAACACCAATTATTTGGTGTGGAGCAATCTAATTTAGGGGCCAATATCCTACTGACACCAATGATGTGAGGGGAATTCTTCCCATGGAGTCCACTATTTCATTGACACCAATTATTCTCCTGTGGCCTATTATTTCACCAACAGTAATGATTTGAGGTGGAAGCTATTCTCTCCTGCAGTCCACTATGCCACTTGATAACACTTGATCTACAGTGTCACTTGAGGACAGTTCTGAGTCTGAGCCATCTAAAAGACCATTAATAAAAAATTGGTGCAGCGCTAAACAAATATCATTATATAAATGAACATACCCTAAAACTAATAAATAAATACATAAATATATAGATACATGCATGCAAGGATGAACCCCTTTCAATCCCCAGTGGGGGGAAACGTGACCATGTATATGATGGTTACTAAACACATGCAAAGGGACAACACACTGCAGCAGGTGATAAAAAGTGAATAAATGCAGTCCACTCCAAACAAAAATGGTGATTCTTCAGAACGTGAGAGTGCCAATAGTGCCACAATCCTACAATGGTCTGAGTGCCTCCTCACCTCCCCGCATCGACCACAAGGGCCAATACGCCTTGATAATATATAGGGTGTAACCCTCAGATGTCAGCCGGTCACAGATCCACAGTAGATTCCACCTCATGTGACCGGCTGACATCTGAGGGTTACACCCTATATATTATCAAGGCGTATTGGCCCTTGTGGTCGATGCGGGGAGGTGAGGAGGCACTCAGACCATTGTAGGATTGTGGCACTATTGGCACTCTCACGTTCTGAAGAATCACCATTTTTGTTTGGAGTGGACTGCATTT